CCCACAGTTCTTTTTATAGACAGAATCAAAGCGAGGGTGGTGATTTTCCACCCTCTTCCCATAGCTGAGCTCTGACTGAACCCGGGTCCCAAATGTGGTTCCCTCCACAAACCCACCAGCTGCTTTTAGTCTTTGGGGTGGTCCAGATGACAACTAAACGTTGGACAAGTGACAAAAACATAAAGCGCTCTGTACAGATTTCAGGTCGCTCAGGGCTTACGTCCTCTATGCTTCAAACACACAAACTTGTTAGTGTTAATAAAGAGAGTTGGCTTAGAGAGCCAAATATTTTGTACATAACATTATCTAAAACTCAGATCCAAGTTGTCACAAACCCTACAGCTCAATACAACACATTTATTTTGCCCTCTACAGTTTACAAAGTGCTTTGCCGTACACTATTCAGTCTTTCAGGACCATTGTTCCCTGGGCAGACTTATAGCAGAGCACCTATAATATAGACTTCATTGCATTTATAATTCTATAATTGTGGTCTATTAAAATTAATCCCTTGTGAGCAGAGACCTTGCTTGCCCATTCTTTGAAACCTCAGAGGCCACCACATTGCCTGATAGATATAGGGCAGTAAAAGTCAGTCAGGTAATGTTGAACACCATCTGCCTGTCTTATTGGGTGATTTAAAAAATGTCCACAGGTTCACTGACACTTCTCCCAAAGGTGGAGCCTAATTCCCCTTCTCTTGAGTGTGGGCGGGAGTTAGAGACTCACTTCTAGTGACTAGAATACAGGGGATGTGGTCCTATGGAACTTCTGAGACTAGATCATAGAAGGCATTGCAGTTTCCTCCTTGCTTCACTCTCTTGGAGTAGGGGAAGCCAGCCGCCATGTTTTGATAACACTCAAGCAGCCCCGTAGGGACCCCCTGCTAACAGCCATGTGAGTGAGCTGTTCTGGAAGCAGAGTCTCCAGCCCCAGTCCAGCCTTTGAATAACTGCTGCCCCATCCAACATCTTGGCCACAACCACAAGAGCCCTTGGGCCAGAACCACCCAGCTAAGCCGTTCCCAATGCCTGACCACAGAAACCAGAGTTAATACGTGCTTGTTGTTTTAAGCCACTCAACTTTGGGGTAATTTGTTACACAACCAGTAAATAACTAATCCACCTACGATGGTGAGTAATAGCAGTAAGAGGAATAAAATAATAATTTATTATTTATAAGAGGAATATAAAAAATAATAATACAGCAGCTATCATTTATGGTTTACTGTTTTAGATACTCCACACACACTATTATCTCATTCACTCTTCACAAGAATATTATGAAGCAGATGGCAATATTTCCATTTTACCTATGGGGAAATACAGACTTAGATTAAGTCACTTGGCTAAAGTGCTAATGAGTGGTACAAAAAGAATTGAAATCCAGGTCTCCTTGTTTCCAAATCCCATGCTCTTAACCACTGTGCACACTGTCTCCCAACACATGTTTATTGATGGAGTGAATGATTGAAGGGTATCAACCACGCATTAGGACATTTACGAGCCCCAGGCATCATTGCCTCTGTGGGCCCCTTCCTCCATTAAAAAATATTAAAAATTATATTTTATGACCACAACATTGTGAAGACTAATATAATTGAAGCTGGGTTCATTATTATAGATTCATTACTATTATATTCATTTCTCCTCTTATTTTAAAAGAGATTAAAATTAAACCATTTCCCTGGGCCTCTAAAAGTATTGTTGCTCTTGGTAATGTGCCTATCGTGCCTAATGAATAAATAGGCCCTGGTATCAACTTGTGTACAGCAATCAAACAATTGAAAAGAAAAAAAATTTTGATGTCACATTTTAAAAGCCAAGTAAATAATCTCTATTGACTTTGCTTTTTTCTTTTTCTAACCAGTAAAGGGCACAGGGCAGTAGGAAATAATCATAACCCACGGGGGTTGCTTTGGGGGGAGCAGACTATACTGTGTACATGGTGGTGCGTCTATGAGGTTGAAAAGAAGGATGGCAGGGCAGGAATTAGTCCTGCCTCCTGCAAGAAGCTGGCGGTGCCTCTGGCTCAGCTGTGTTCAGCTCTCCTGGAAAGGAGAGTTCACGTGCCTAGTTTTGAGAGCCTGCTCCCCATGATCCCCCTTGACCGGGATATGACTGCCTCACTCCTGTGAAGGTTGAGATGCTTATGAGCAGTGGGACAGTGCTCAGAAGTCAAGTTCCTGGAGACAGCATGGAGTCATGAAAAAGTAATAGAAAGAACAGTGACTGTAGATCTGGTACAAACCTCAGCCTCTCCACCCAATACCTGCGTGGTCTTAGATGAACTAACTTTGTGGCACCTTAGTTTTATCATCTGCAAAATGAGGGCTGTGTGGCAAAGACAGTGCTCACCAAATATCCACACACTCCCCTCGATTTCACAGCCAGTGGCCGGCCAAGGGACTGTGAACAGCAGTGACATGTTACTTCAGCGTGAGGCAGTTAAAAGCTGCCATATCTCCACATATCTCTTCCCCTCCCACAGCAACCTGGGAAGCCATATGTTCAAGACAACATAGCTAAAACATGAGAAGTGGCCCCGATCCATGAGTTACTGCCTGGAGGAGAGCTATGCAGGAGGGCTGTCAGACCCACATGGAGCTGGAGAGAGAGTGACAGAAACAGTTAGTTTGGGGGTTATATGTTACTGAGTATATCTTAGTTTATCCTGACTAATAGAGACTGTAATGCCAACTTGGCTGGATCACAAGGATTAAATGAAAGGAGGAATGTAAAGCATCAGAACAGTGCCTGGAAGGGAACTCACCCAGGAAACATTTATTTCCTTCTCTACTTTCAAAAATTGCATTTTGCCCCAAAGAATTAATCACTGTCCAGGAACTGTTACAGATCCCTTTCTGATAATATTTTAGTGTTGGGACTTAGGGACAGAATTCTGAAAAAGATGAAGGATGTACACAGCCTTGTCACCAGAGGCTGCAGACTTCAGAAGAGCTTCTGTCACCCACAGAAAGCAGTACAGACACTTTGCAGGATCTAAATTCAACTCAACTCATTTCCTCTAGAGTGCAGAAAAAGCAGGTGGGGGGAGGGTAGAGAGACAGCATTCCTGGCATATTATTTTAAATTTTTGTTTGGATGTCTTGTGGCCAGAAAGCTTGCAAATGCTGACTCAGCAACCCAGGAGTTTGCGTGAAGGCTTGCTGGAGCCCAAGGAAGCAGGTTGCTCTTGAACAGCATCTCATCTACAGTCTCAGCATCATATGATTGAAGACTTGTAGCGATGATTTAGACCAATACTGTGTGTTAAAGAAGAGAACTTACAGCCCAAAGTGGAGAAGGGGATTGCTCCAGGTCACACTGCCAGCGAGTGGAAGAATCACAACACTGCCCTCCCTCCCAGAGCTCTTTTTCCCCACCAATGGCCACCCCAGATTGGCCAGGCTCCCATGCGGTCACATCTTCTTTGTATCACCTGCCTGAATGGGGCCTGTCAAATTGAACACTAAACTCAGGCTTGGTGAGCCTTTCTTGGCATCCACTTGACCGTGATTTCTCTGGGTGCACATCGGATTGATGTAGCTATTAAAAGTCAGCCCCACCTCGGCAATCCAACAGAAAAACTATAATCACCAGACATTTCCAAGGGACCTTTCAAAGAACATCACTAATTCTCAATAAAGCTCTCCCCTACCAACAGTTTCCAATTATAGTCTTGACGTTCCTATTTTATGCTACAAAATTCCTCTGCCATTTAACGAAGGGGAAAAAAACACTGCTTTTAAAATACATATATTTCAATAGGCTAAGTACCTGAGTTAACTTTCCAAAATTAAAACAAAACTAACAAAAAACTTAACCCTGTCTTTCATTTCCCCCCTCACGCACTCTATGGTATTTGGAAAGGGGCATAAGTCCTGTTATTCTCCAGGAGAGTGAGGCTGAGAGCCGCCCCCCCCCCACAACAACAGGGAAAGTTTGGGGCTTCTAGGCTGAGGAGGGAGCTGACATCTATTAGGGGGGCTTGGCCCAAAGGCACAAAGCTCCCATTCTAAATACAACCTTAGAAGTTCTGCCAAATGCAGGTCCTCCATCTCATTCATTTCCAGGGTTATCTTCAAGCCTACTGTAGATTGCCAGGCAATATTGATCTCCTAACTCCTGCCAGCTCTGCCACCCCTGTGTGCCAGGCACTGTGCTAGATGCTTCACGTTCTTCATCTCATGTACTCCTCACCAAGAGCCCCAAGAAGCAGGAATTAACTTGTTTAAAGATGAGGAACCGAGGCCCACAGAGACTAAGCAGTTGGCCCAATGTCACGAGCTAGGATTTGAACCCACGGGTCTATCTCGTTCCAAAGTCCCTAGAGGAGGGCACTGAGGTTGGAATAGTGAAAGGAAAGTGACACTGGACTGTTTTTATCCTCACTTCTCCCTTGGCAGGGATCTGGCCCATAGAGTTGGGGAATATAGTCTCTGGAGTGCAGAGGATGGACTAGGGTGCGGTGGAGACAGAAAATAAGGGGTGCATGCTCACAGGAATTTCCTCATCTGCGGGATGAATTCGAGCCTACCTCAGTCCCGCTGGGTCTAGCCGGGGCCAGGAAGTCGGTGGCGGAAGAACTCACACGGACACAATCACTCCAGGGGAAAAGCAACAGAGGGAGCAGTGGATCAGACGTGCCCTCACCGCAGCCGACAAACGCTGCCCCTGCCAACCCTCTTCAGCCCCGTCGTTCAGCGGTGCCAGCTCCAGCCCTAGCGTGCAGGTGGCGAAACCCCTTCCCCTGGGCGCATCAGGTACGCAGATGGCGAGCCCTCCACGTGCTGCGCCAAGTGCAGGTGATGCGCCCCTCTGTGTGCACTTCGGAAGAGCAGATGGCAAACTATCCGTGCGCGCCAGGTGCGCTGCCGGCCAACCTTTTCGCGCGCTCCCCAGGTGTGCAAGCTTCCGCCACCAACTCCCTTTCTCCAAGCTTCGTCCTCCACCAGCGACCCCCTTTCCCAAGCTCCCATTCCGCCGTCCGCCCCTCACCTGCACGGTTGTGGGCACCGGCAGCACAGCCCTGCGGCGGCGGCCGAAGCGAAACTTGGCCGCCTTGTAGATCTTCCAGTAGACAAATAGCACTACGCCGAGCGGCAGGTAGAAGGCGCCACAGGTGGAGAAGACGGCGTAGGAGGGTTCCTGGCTCACCTGGCAGCGCTGGAGCCGAGCGTCGTATGCCTCACCCCAGCCAAAGAGCAGCGGCGCGAGGGCGATGAGCGCGGAGAGCGCCCAGGTGAGCGCGATCATGAGCGCCGAGGCGCGGCGGCGGGTGCGCAGCGTGTACTGCAGGTGGCGCGTGATGGTCCAGTAGCGGTCCAGGGCGATGGCCGCCACGTTCCAGATGCTGGCGGTGCAGCACAGCACGTCGAAGGAGATCCACACGTGGCACAGTCTCCTGCCCAGCCACCAACGTCGCCCGGCCGACAGCTCGCTCACCAGGCTCAGTGGCATCACCAGCGCTGCCACTAGCACGTCTGACACGGCCGTCGAGGCCACCAAGTTATGCGGCACACGATGGAAGGCGCGGACGCGCAGGATGGTGACCAGAACCAGCAGGTTCCACAGGAAAGTGGCCGCGATCAGCAGCACCAGCAGCGTCACCACCAGCACCGTGAACACCGAGAGGGGCGGCTCTCGGCCGGGCAGGGCAGCGCCGCCTGGGGTGGACCTGACGACCCCGCCGGGGCTTGGGCTGCTGTTGCAGGTCTCGGGTCCGGCGGGAAGGGCGACGCCGGTGGCGGCCACCGAAAGGTTAGCTGCTTCCATAGCTCCGCGGCGCGCCGGCTCCCGGCTCCCAGGCAGGGGACGCAGGCGCAGCCCCGGGTCTCCGCGAGGACCAGGCGGGTGGGGTCGTGGGAGGGGGCACTGCGTGTCCGAGGAGGGCAGAGAGGAGTCCAGGTCGCCCTACCCTGCTCCCTCCTTGGCCCGCAGCCCCCCTTTGTGCCTCTGCCTGGAGCCTTCGTGGACCTCTTTTCCAGTGGAGGAAAAATAGAGAGTGGGACCCCTCAGGAGTCCAGCTCCGCTCGGCGCGCCGGTCCCACCCACCTCTCCTCGCCGTCCCCGGGGCAACGGGCTGTCGTGGGGCTGGGAATCCCAGAGCGCAGCCGAGTGTCCGCGCAGGGGCGGGCTTGGAGAGTTGCCCCCCACTCCCACCTCCACCCCGGCGGCAGTGTGGGCGGGGGCGGGGGTGGTCTGGAGAACCTGCGAACAGAAGCCAGGCCTTCGCGCGGTCGGGCGGCTCCCCCCGCCTCCTCCGTGCGGGGAGAACCCTAATTGCGGGGCTCTCGGGGAAAGTTCACAATCTCGTAGGAACTCCGTAGCTGCCACCTCCCCGCCCTCTCCCAGACAGACGGGTTCTTGTTTCCTCGAATCTTGATCTTGCATCTTCGTACCTGAATTAGGAGACTCCGGTATTTGGTAAGTGAAACAGGAAGCCCCTAAACCCGGCTCCATCCCGCCGCCCCACCTGCAGCACTTCTACCCGGCCAGGGCTTCGTGGGGCCTGCAGGTCACCGTCTGGCTCCACGCAGAAAGCGCTACGTCTAAGAGTTTGGCAGAGGTCTGGAAGAGGGAGCGTTTACAACCTCCTTGCCATGCCGTCCCTGACCCTGTCCCATCACATCCCTACAGGCAACACACCTGCACTTCCCCCCCACCCCCCCCTTTGCAGTTGCTGACATTCCTGATTATAATCTCTGTGTTCCGGTTCTTCACATCCAGGATAGGACTGGAGTTATTTTTGTTGACCCTTGGGCAAAGGTAGAAACCAATTAAAAACGTGAAATTCCCCTAACTCTTCACCCGGCCCCCATTTTCAGTCTCTTACACTTTTAAAAAATAGTTCAATCACAGTTAAATCAACCTAAAGCTGCATTACTTCTCTTCTGGGGAGTAGAATAGAAACATAAAGACCACAGAGCCCAAATTGCCCCTTCTCTTGTCACTGCAGCACGACGAGCAGTCACCCACTGGCTTCTTACCAACACTCCAGGAAGAGCTCAGGCTAAGCAGGGTGCTTAGCAGACAGGTGCTCGGGAGTGCCAGAGCAGGCCCTTCGCTCTCAGAGTCAGCTCCCAGAGAGAGACTCTTTCTGGAAGGCCCCCTGGGCTGCAGCAGGTGGGGGAGGTTTCTTCCCTTCAGCAGTCCCACCCCTGGCACGTACGTAGGGCAATCTTTGGGAAGCTGGACTGCAGGAAGGGACACTCTGAGAATGTCCTCCTTTACTCTCCCTTCCTCGGTACAGTTCTTCCTTACATGCACAGACTTGAGAGCCCACTCCGGGCATAAAAAGCAACATGCAGAGAAGTCAAAATGAAAATACTTACAGGCGTAAATGTCAAGTGGTTGGTAAAAATATCAGAAGCAGTGTGGGCTGTTCAGGGATCACAGAGACGGGGGAAGTTGTAGGCAGAGGAGACCTTCCACTGACAGAAATGTAGGGAAGGAATTTAAATATTGGATGAGGTAAATATTGTTGGAGGGTTGGGCCTGGCAGGGGCGTGAATGGCTGGGGTCCAGCCGGCAGCATGCAGGGTGTAAATGCCCAGGAGAAGGGTTTGGACTTGATCTTGGAAAGAGCTGGATTTTGGATTGTTTTGAGAAAATTGACATGATGAAGACAATCCTTTAGAAGGAGATGGTGACTAGGCTTTGAAATAGTTTCACAATAATTTTCTCCCCATTTTATTGGACAAGCATTATATCAAGAGCGAGGAATATCCAAAATGTAAAAGCATTCATGCTGCCCCAGTCGGGTGCATGACGTGCTTTGATGCTCCTAGCCACGTACATTTTTCATGCCGAAAATCAATTTTTCGTTTTGCAGATTTAATACTTTTCGTGTTGCTATATATTCTCTTCATAGTTTCACTTCTTATATTGTACCATTTATTAGGTGAGAGACTTGCAGCAACTTAGGCTTTCCGAGACTCAGTTTCCTCATTTTATTTATTTTTTTTTATAATTTTATTTATTTATTTATTTTTCCCCCAAAGCCCCAGTAGATAGTTGTATGTCATAGCTGCACATCCTTCTAGTTGCTGTATGTGGGACGCAGCCTCAGCATGGCCGGAGAAGCGGTGTGTCGGTGCGCACCCGGGATCCAAACCCGGGCCGCCAGCAGCGGAGCGCGCACTTAACCGCTAAGCCACGGGGCCGGCCCTGTTTCCTCATTTAAAAATGAGGATAATTTTACCCATCAGGAGGTTATTGTAAAACCATAGTTAAATAAAGCCCATAGCATGGGGTTAAGTGTTCAATAAATGATGACTATTGCTACTATTTTTAACTTCCAGTTTAAACCTTACATTCAGTTCTCTCATGATCTTTTGAGGTAGATCATGTTTTACAGTTTTAATCCCTCAAATGTTTATAACAAGAAAACACTTGCACACATTTTGTTTCCCTTGATCTTACCTGCACCCTTTTTAGGCATCATTCCCATTTGCAGATGAAGAAACAGAGAGAGGTTTGTTGACTTGCCTTGGGACTGGTGGCTGGGACTCAACTCTTCTGAGCCCTGTCCCTCATTTGTCCATGACCCCAAGCTGCCCTCCGTACACTGGTCTGGGGGCTCAGTCTGATTGTTTCCATTTAACTCTTTCATATAAATTATTTTGTATAAAAAGTCTGTCATTTTAGAAAACTATATTATCTCAATTACAAGTCTTCTTGGGCTTCTCTACCCTTGTCTCAGACCACTCTCCCCCTGCTCGCTGCACTCCAGCCCACCTGGCCTCCCACTTCCTTGAACATGACACACTCCATTCTCAGGGCTTCGCTGTGTGCTGTTGCATCTGTCTGCGGTGCTCTTCCCTCACATAGGCATGGCTCATTCACTTAGTCATTCTGGTCTGTGCCCCAGAGTCACCCTCTCAGGCCTTCCCTGGCCATCAGATCTACAGTCTATCACTCTGTCTTAAGACGTTCTCTGTCCCACTACTGTGCTTCATTTGTCTTCACAACACCTCACAGTAGTGACAGCATGTTATTTATTTAATTCCTTTTGCTACCTGCTTTGTCTGATAAAATGTAAGCTCTTCTTAGGCAGGGAATTGATTCACTGCTGTATCCTGAGCATCTAATTCTGTGCCAGGCACATAGAAGGTGACTCAATAAATTTGAATGGATTTGTTGAATGGATCAGTGAGGCATTGTTGGGAGAAGTGAGCCGTGGGCCCTGAGCACCCCTGCACATTCACGTAGGTCATACCAAGAATATAAGGTCCTGACTGCTCCTTGTCCAGGCCATTTCTCAGAGTTGTGTTTGCAGTCAGTGACCTTCAAGGATGAGGTCACCTCTCTCCCTGGGCCAAGGGCAAGCATGCTTCCACTTACTACAGAAGTGGTGAATCCTCCAAGCTCAGTGTGCCTTTCTGGTAACACAGCCTACTGTCTGTGCAGGTCTATCACGGGCCCTTTCTGTCACCCCCATGGGACTTGGGAAATATGGAAAGCCAGAACAAACAAGCATGGAGCTCACGCTACAGCTTTTGCCCAAGGGAATAAAGTCCTTTGTCTCTGACCCAGGAGTCTCCTGTCTTCTGCTGGCATCTATGAAACAGTTACAGGGTAGCTTGTTAGCTTGCAAGTAGGTAAAATTCCAAACTTTGTGCAGTACTTGACAGGCATTTGGTTTGCTGATTTTTAAATTATTAGCAGAATTCTTTTGCCATTTTGAGATTAGTTCCTTGATACATTTTCACCCAAATTTAATAACTGAGTTAAAATGTAGAAACAGTGTGATTGTTCTTTTTACATATTTCCAAATTGTACCTCAGAGAGTTTTAATAGATTCACTGTTCTCTTGGCACTGGCTTTGGAGAAACAAGAGAGAGATGGACTCAGCCTTGCCAAAATCAATTTTTTATCATTAGAAGAAAAATGTTTAATTGGTATATAATGACATATTTTGATTGTTTTAGTTTGTATTTCTTTAATGGCTAAAAACCTGCATTTTTCCACATGGTGGTTTATTGTCTATATATCCTTGTATAGAAGCTGTTCCTCCTCTTTTAACTACTTTATACAGGAATCTGGGTACTGACCTTATGAATATTGATCAATTTCAATGTAATCAGCATATTTTCATCAATGTTGTCACATACTTTTTCTTTGTCATTTATCTCTTTGCATTTATTCTATTACATTTTGTTGAATAAATTTTTCTTTTATATAGTAGGATACATTGATCTTATCTCCATCAACGTCCTTAGTTTACTCTGTAATCATAAGTTGCTTTCCTGCCCTTTATTTCTCTTATTAAAGTTTATGAATAGATTAGAAATTTAACTCTTTGATTCCTCTGGAGTCATTGTTGTGACATAGCATGAGACCGTGATTGAGCCTTCTGAGCCCCATGCTGTGTGTGATCCTGTCCAGTGAAGCCCAGCCCCAATTATTGAGTGCAAGATGTTGTACCGTTGTGGTGGTACGAAGGTGGGCGAGATGTAGTCCTGATCCTGGAGGATCTTTCATCCACCAGAGAACAACATCTATCTATCTGATAACAAGAATGCAGCAAAATGTGCCAACAACTGATTAGAGTTTAAACCAAGGTTTCTAGTTTTGCTGGGGGAGAGAAATCACCTCCAGTAAGAAGGAGCAGAGAAGGCCTCTGGAGGGAGGCAGCTTTTGACCTGGACATTAAGAGACAGGAGGATTTTCACCGACAGAGGTGGGGAAGGAGGAGGAGGGAGGCAAACCCAGCAGGAGGAAGAGGGTGAGCAAAGGCTTGGAGGCAAAAGAAGAAGAAGAAAATGAAACAAACACACCAGCAGAGAGT